GACACAGTCTTGCCTTCAAGAATCTCACACTGGTTGTGGAGAGATCTGGCAGGTGGCCAAGGTGTGGGGAGGGAAGGCTCTCTCGATGAGGCTGAGACCCCCCCAAGGCAGAGTCAGACAGACAGACATTCACAGTGTCATGGAGACCAATGGGGGTGACACAGGACACACAGTAGGGAACCATGAACTCACTCTCACATCCCTCGAGGAAGAAGGAAATGCAGCCAGGGTGACTACAGATAACTAGTCTGAGAGGAGTTAGGTGGCTTTGCAGAAGTGCACCTCCAAGAAGTCCAGTGCTTTCAGGGAGGAGGGAGGTCAGCTGATCAGGACATGCTTAAGGTAGTGAGAAGAATCTCTCTTCAAGGGATCCAAGAAGGCTTGGGGTGCTGGCAACTGAGAAACTGCTCCCACTCCTCCTTCCTTCTCAGGGAAGAGAATGAGATGTACATTTTGAGACATGATTGTGGATGAAGGGTATCTTAGTCACTTTCCCCATGTCTGGGACAGGATAACCCACATCCACAACTAAGAGGAGGAGAGGTTTACTTTTGCTCAGGTTTGTAGAGGTTTCAGTCCACACTTGGCTGCCTCCAAGGAAAGATGGAGGGGGTGGCTGACAGGAAGCAGAGAGTGGAGAGAGGAACCTGAGGAGGGAGCTAAACCCTTTCATCCACGCCCACATTGGCTACCTCTTCTGACTAGATCCTGCCTCCTAACAGGAAGTCTGTTATGCAATTATCTTCCAAAAGTCCCACTTATGACCATATGAAGTTTTGGAGAAACATATATGTAGATATAAATCAGAGCAAAGAGGGATTTTATCCTGGCCTAAACATCCGTAAAGGCTGCAGGAACGGGAGGAATTGAGCAACAGGAGAAAAGGTAGAAGGAGAGGATTCTAGAGCAGCATGGTGCTCACCCCCTCCAGTAGAAGTTGTAGTAACTGACACTGTGTGTGGTGCCCGTGTACATGGAGAATTCTCAGGTGCCTGGGGTCGGTCTGTTCTAAGGAATCCTATGGACTGGGGAACTAGGCTGGGCTGTCAGCCTAGACACCCAGTTGTGGCTGGCCTGGGTGTGGGGAGCTTCTGCAGCAGGAAAGACCTTGGTCTAAGGCTCACACAGGCAGAGTCCAGAGATGGCTTCAACTCCCTGGAGTGCTCTGGCTGCCCTGCATCAGAGAGCCACCTCCAGCCATGCTGTTTGGCAGCAATCAAAAGGGCTCATAGGAATTTAATGAACTGATGTAAATTAGCTAACCAGGTGCTAAGAACTCAATCCATAGCATGACAGCAGGGCCCCTGTTCTCATGGTATGCTAATGTGTGGGAACTAAAGGAGTAATGAGGGGACACAAGTGTACAGGTTGCCAGAGGGGAATGTTAAGGGAAATCTACTCATGGAGGTCACAGAGTCCCTGCTGAGAATCTGCTTTTCATTAGGCTGGGTTTGAGATGAGTAACTCCAGCCCCCCCACCCCATCTTCTCACCATGATGGGAGGGAACAGAGCAATTCATTTTTAGACAAGTCACTCCCGTACTAAGGATCCCAAAGAATCTTGAGACAGTTCTTTACTCTGGGTTCCAGTCATCCCTATTCAGCCTTCCAAAGAAGTCACAGGAATGCCGAGGAATGAAGTCTCTTTCCTGTTCAACATGTCTTCCCTCAACCAGGACCTCTTCTGCAGACATGGGTTCTCACTGGCTTCCTGGGCAGCTCCACATCTCCAACCATTCTTGCAGTCACTGGACCCCCCAATCCCTCTGCTCCCGCCCTCTCTCCTTCTCTCTGAGAAGGTCCATAAGGTCTGGTCCATAAGCTCTCATCTGTTCCCCTTGGCTCCCTGTGACACTAGACATTTGTCACATTCCACCTGGATTTGGTAGGAGGGGATATTCTGGACTCGAAGGGAGCACACATAACAGCCCTTTGGCAGACCTCTGCATTATCCACATCTTCCTCCTTGAATATCCCAGCATCGTTACTCTGCTAAAGGACCCCTTTCCTCTCCCCAGTGATGAGGCCTGTGTGCACTAGCTGGCTGCCCACCAAGACCCTTCCTCCTGTTCTAAATTTAAGGCAACAGAGCTGTAATTGGTCATGGCACCCTAGTGCAAACTGGATTCCCTGAGTGTGGTCCTATTACAGACTTCTCTCTACAGGATGGAAGTGATATTTGCCATTTCCAGCCTGTGTGTCAAAAGCTAAAGCAAGGCATTAAAGCAGCTCTGAAAACACAGGGTCCTACATTTCTAAATGGTGCAAGGAAGAGATTTCTTCCACTGGAATGGGTTATCTACATCCAGACAAGGTAGAGGGACAAACTTACTTGTTCTTTAAACCACAATAGCATTGGATCTTCTACCTTAATTAGCACAAGACTCGTTGCCAAAATGTCCCTATTTCTACCTGATGGGCAGGCACCATACACTCTGATAAAAGGTACATTTTGCATTTCTGTCCATCACCTACATATCAATCAAGAATAAAATTACTTTCCTGTGACTTTCCCTCCCTCAAACACTCCTCACTCTTCCTCACCTGCTTGAGGTCAAAGGTACAAATGATAGAACTTGCTTTGACCACCTCCCATGCCCAGTCTTCAGCCACCAGGTCCATCTTTGCCAAGTCTGACCAGGACCCCAACATCCTAGGAGCTGCAGAAAGTTTCTTCTCCTTGGCTTTGCTTTATTAAAGCAATTCCCTACATGTGGCACTGCCGTCCAGAGGACAAAGACTAATAGCATAAATAAAATAAGCCCCACTGTGTTCTCCTCCAGGGTTTCTATTGATTGTCACTTAATCTCTTGAGGCAAATTGATGGGTTTAATATTAAATGGAAATACCAAGAGTTAGAAAAGAGATCAGAGAACTGAGCAAAACAATAAAATGGTCCAGAAGTGGAATTTTTCCAACTCTCCAAGGAGGTTGGTTCTGGCCATGTGCATTTGTTTGCTTTCTTACTGTGTACAGATAAATATTTTTATACAGACTAGGGAGTTGTTTAAAATGTTGGGTGGGAAGAGAATGTGAAATGCCAATTTAGCTAACCCCAATTCTGCTGCCCTCAGATCTCTTCTCGGCCACATCAGACATGGCCTGGGCATTGCTTTCCTCACTGTCACATAGTGTATCCCATCTATCTGGTGAGCCCAGGGGTAGGTGACAGGGACTATGACTCTGTGCCTTTGTGTCCAAGACAACCCTGTGATCTCCTCTCACCTCACTGCCACACACAACCCAAGGACAATCCTATGCCCCTGGTAGCTAGTGTGGATCATGAGAGCTAAAGACTTTTGAGTCAGCTGGACATGGGTTTGAGCTCTGCCTCAATGTAGTGGAAGACCTTGGGCAAGTGTTTGATTTCTGTCTCTATTCTCTTCCCATGGGGATAACCTGTCTATAAGAGAGACGGGCTAGTGACTCACCATGTCAACTTGTCTTCTGTAAACAATGCAGACCACACAGTGGTTTACAGTCCCAGTATCCTCTATGTTCCCAGAATCCTCTGCTGTTGGGTGTGGTCATGTGACTAGTTCTAGTCCTGTGAAATTACCAGGCCCATGGTTATCTTCTCTTCTAACATCCTCTCATCTTTCCTCATCCATTCACTGAACAGAAACAGCTCTGAAGCCCTTGAACCTGGGCAGGACCTAAAGGCAGAAAGAGCCTGAACTCAGAATAGCCAGAAATTTGCAAAGGTCTCTGTGCAAGCTGGAGATAAAATCCTACAAGGTTCAGTTCTGGAATTTGTCTGCTACTATTAGTCTCATGTACTACTTTGCAAGGCTGTGATGTTTAATATAAAACAAACTTGATAGTGCCTGGAAGAGTTTGTACTTAGGAAATAGAACTATCTCAGGTTCCAGAAGTGGAAATTCACAGCAAGGTATGTGTGAGGTGATGTTGGTGTGTGTGCTAATTGTGTATATAGCACACTTCCTGAGAGTTTACTTTCATTTGCTTGTTTAATCATAGTAGCACACTTGTGGAAGAGTTATCATTTGCCCCATTTTTTAGATGTATAAACTGAGACTCAGGGAAATTATACAAATTATCCAAATCTCACAGGTAGTAGTTGATGACAGAGCTGAGCCCTTCAGCCAACTCTTTTAGCCACTGGGTTTTCAGATTTTGTTTTTGTTTTCTACATTCAGGATCAAACCCAGGGCCTTCTCACTGAGCTATAATCACAATGCTTTTATACAAAATTGTTTATTTTGAGACAGGGTCTTATGAAGTTTCTAAATTGCCCAGGCTATGCTCAAACTTGTAATTCCCTTGCCTTAGCCTTGCATGGTGCTGGGATTGCAGGCATGTGTCATGCCACTATATTAAAAAAAAAACAGAAGTGTTCCCCAAATCTAATCACTAATGTGGTGCTGGCAAGGGAGATGTTTCAGAGCCCAGTCATGGTAGCCTCCCCAGCATGGCCTCGGAGTGTCCCCACAGGGGAAAACCCTCTGCTTGTGCTGTCATAAGGAAAGTGAACATAACTAACAAGAACTGACAACTCAGCAGCCATGGACTAAACTCCTTACAAGATCTAACCTACTTAATACTCAAAATGGCCTAACAGAGTAGTTTCTGTTGTTGCACCCACCTAATGGTTGCAAAACTGAAGTATGGAAATGGAAAGTGACCTACCCAGGTGCTGCAGTTTGGATCTGGAATGTTCCCAAGGCCAGGTGTTGAAGGTCTGGCCACAGCCTATGGCACTATTGGGAGGTGATGGGCCTTTAGGAGGCAAGGCTTCATGGGAGGAAATGAGGTTACTAGGGACAGGGTTAGTGGGAGGAAGTGATGATATTGGTGGTGTGGCCTTCAGAGGGATGTTGGGTCCTAATCCCCTCCTTTCTTTGTTTCCCAGTTGCCATGTGCTCCTATTACGATGTCCTGTGCTGCCACAGGCCTAATGACAGGGCTAAGGGACATAGACGGAAATCTCTGAGATCATGAATCAAAGCCAAGATTAATTTTACTTCTTTTAAGTTGTTTATATCATAATTTTGTCACAGCAGTGGAAATTTGACTAGCACACCAGGTCATCCAGCTAAAAAGTAGGAGTCAGGATCTGAAGGCAGCCAGCACAATCTGCTGAACCCACCCCTCGAATCTCAATAACAACATGATAGTCAGTGTGATACTCTGTACTCCTAAATAGTACATTTTTTTAGAATTCCTATTATTTAAAAAATTTATACCGAATTCCCCAAGACTTTCTAAGAAGAAATGAAACTATTGGGTCAGTGCTACTTTATTTTCATACAACTAAATATTCTAGTGGATATAGAGCAAGAGAAATATCTTTCAATATTTTTCACAGGAAGAAACTTGACATTTGCTCAAAATAATCATTGCACAGCCTCTTTGGATCCAGCTTTCCTTTGCCATTGGATCCTGAAAAAGAAAAGATGTACAGCTAAAGCCAAATCACTCCCAGAATGAAAATGAGGTATTAAATGTATTTTTATGATGTATAATTCACCTGACATATCTTAAATGTCCAGTCGGTCCCCATCATCAGTACTCCTAAGACTTGGTTTGCTATGTCTAGGCCATTAGGATTGTTAAAGCCCTGTGGCCCTGGAAAACTCCCTCCTTCTGCCTTTGCCAGGCACTTCCATCCCCCAGCCTGGGGACCGCTTTCCAGGAAGCTGGGGCTCCAGTGCTGGCTATGGGGCAGAGATGCTGTGACCCATCCTCAGGAAGATGGCCACATGTTCTTGGACCCACATCCTTTTCCAAAATAGAGGAGACCAGAGCTGCCTGGTGAGTTGACTTCCTCTCCCACAGGCCAGAAGGCCAAGGACTCTTCTGGATTCAGAGTCTCAGAGCACCACTGAAGAGAGGGAACAGCCTGCAGAACAGGGAGCCTAGTAGCCTCCAGGGTCTTCTTAAAGCACCACTCCAACACACCAAGGTGGTGGTTTCCTCATCACATGGGCCAGGTGAGGAATCACGGGGGCCCAGAGGGGCTGCATGTGGCTTTCACCCTCATCTCAACTTCACCTTCCAGAGCCAGGCATGGGAGCAAGGGCTGTACTGCTGGCTGGATCAGCCTGCTGCTGCCAGGCTGGGCTGTGGGAGTATCTGCTATGAGTGGATAGAAGAGGACCCTTCTGTGAACAATCATCACTTGCTGTCTCCCACACCCGCATGTCACACATAAAGCTTGCTCAAAAAAACAGTGCTGCAATGGAGCTGACCTTGTACACTTTGCTGGGCCTGGACTTCAATGTTTCTTCCATTTCTTGGCTGAAAAAGATGGAGTGACTTTCACACACTGAGATAAAGCTGGCTGGGGCTTGAATCTTGGTTCAGATCCTCTATCTTGACAGTGCCTTGACGGTGTGTTGTGCTGAGCCCAAAGGCTGGTTCTTCTAACTGGGATCTCATACCCTGTCCTTTTGGACTCACCTGGTAAGTCCCATAGGCACTCTAGTCAGTGTTGCAGGACACAACATTGATTCCCATCTCACCTTCCTCTTTAACCTTTGCTCATGTGGTAGGAGAACCCACAAACATTCATCATGGAACTTCTCAGCCTGGAGACATCACAGAGACCTATTGCTCTCAAAGTACCTTCCAGGAAACAGTGCACTAGGAAGTCATGCAAACCAAAACAAGTGTACACAGGGTGGGAGTATGGAGGGCAGAAACTGTTCCTATGGTCAAATAAATTAGAGAAACAGAATATTAACTCCAGGGAAGCAGAGGGTTCCTGTAGGACTGCTCAGAACCCTCAGTGGCTTTGATGGTGCGTTGTTAATCTTCATAAGTGCTGAGTGTGGCATCTTCCAATTATTTTTTTTTTGAGACAGGGTCTCACTATGTAATTGAGACTGACCTGAACTCACTATGTAGCCTAGGCTGGTCTCGAACTCACAGCAATCCTCCTGCCTCAGCCTCCCAAGTGCTGGGATTACAGGCGTGCACCACCATGCCCAGTGCATCTTCCAATCTTAGCATCAGTGATCCCCAGCATGTAGTTTGGGGGATCTTGGATCCAGTCTGATTTACTTATTTTTCTGATGTAAACACTGAGGGTCTAAGGGTGACAGAAAGCTAATCAATGATGGATGAAAATCTAAAAGAGTCTATGAACTTCGCAAGGAATTCTGTGTTACCTGGAAAGGAACAAAAGATGGTGCCTGGACTCTCCCTGTCTTTGTGCCATGGACCTCAGTGATCAGGAACATCCTGGTTCTGGTTTGCCCAGTGTCTGCCCCTCAGCAGAACTTCTCTCTGCTTCCCATGCTTCTAGAAGTCAGACCCTTTTGGCCACTGTCCAGCTTCCCTTGACAGATTTGTAAGAAAATTTGACTAAGTCATTCCCTAGATACAGGCAGTGAGGGCCCTAGTTCACCATGGGGTCCTGCAGTAACTCTATAATAGGGATGACTGCTGCCAATTTGGCTTCAAAAACAGAAATAAGAAAACCTGGTATACCTTGAAAAGGAAGAATGGTTGTCCCAAGGTGCCAATGGGATCCTGCAATACAAAAATATAAACTTTCACGTAGCCACATTGCATCAAAGGTCCTTCAAAAATGTCTATGGGGGAAGATTTCAGAAAAGGCATTCCAGATCAGCAGCCTCAACAAGTGGAAATTTGCTAGAAATGCAAACTCTCATCCCCAGTTTGGACCCTGTGTATCTCAGGGTGTGGCCTGGACATCTGAATCTTTAGCAGATGAGTCGGATGCACGGTCAAGTTTGGGATTCTCTGGTCTATGGCATTGGTACCAATATGTGCTCCCCTCAAATTTGTACAATGTTACTTTGCTCCTCAAGCCAGAAAGAGCAAATGCCCAGGAGCAGACAGCTCCAGAGGCCTCATTTGTGAAACCGAAGATGAATTTTTACAGCCACAGGCATTGATTGCTAACACTGATTTGATCAATTTCCCCTTTGGTTTCTTTTGTTCCAAGACAAGTCAGGGAAGACCCCTAACTTCAGTGATCAGCCTCAGAGAAGATGTTCAGAGTCTTGCTGCAAGATCAGTCCTTCCCAGGGGGGCCTAGAGGGGCTGGAGGGTGGTCCACACCTACTCTTCCCCACCCTTCCCTATAAACCGCTCTTGTGGGCTGTGACTTCCCCAGAGCTCACATACCTTTTTGGTCAAGTCCACGGCAGCAGGTCCTGAATCCTGGAAGAGAATAAGCAAGGTGCTGGTGAGTTCACATTCAAGACCTTGCAGTTGTCTGTGTGGTTTCTCCCTTCCTGGCTGTGTTCTACAGTGTTCGGAAGAGAGGTGCAAGAAAATAGTGAGAGGGGATGGCTACCCATGGGGCCAAAGGCAAGCTCCCACCCGAGCTCCTTGGCTTGATTTGAGACAGCGGGTTTGTCCAGGTGTGTTTTAATTGCTTGTGCCTCCTCACAGCCACATCTTTGAGATGCACCCCCAGTTTAGGCAGCTTCTGAGGAGAAGCCATTTCAGCACCTTCCGCTTGTTCTTTGTCCATAAACCTGGTGTAAGAGTGGAGTCTGTGCACACCTGGAAATTTGTATGAAGTCGGTAGGGAAAGGAAAAGCTGTTGCCTGCACTTAGGATGAACAACCAGTTTTCCAGGGGTGGAGCAGTTGCCAGGATGATCTCAGGACTTCCTGAGCTAAAATCCAGGCAAGTACTGAGAAAATTTATCATCCTACCTGGGCACAGTGGGTCCAAGAATTTCGACCATACAATAAAAATCTTGATTAATAATTTGAATAGGTTCAGTGATCATTTCTTGTTTTTTTTTTTTTTTTTGGTACCAGGGATTGAACTTGGGTCCTTGCACTTGCAAGGCAGGCCACCGAAACACTGAGCTAAATCCCCGGCCCCAGTGATCATTTCTATTTCTTTCTTTCTTTCTTTTTTTTTTTTTTTCTGAGACAGGGTCTCACTATGTAGTTGAGACTGACCTGGAACTCACTATGTAACCCAGGCTGGTCTTGAACTCACAGTGATCCTCCTGCCTCAGCCTCCTGAGTGCTGGGATTACAGGCATGCGCCACCAGGCCTGGTCGAAACCGATTATTTCTAAGCTTTAAAAAGGGAACAACTGAGCTAAAGACAAAGAATGGATGAGTTATGGGGAAAAAGGATGTCAAGATGGTAAATGTCATGTTACAAATACAAAATAATACACAACACACACAGACACACACACACACACACACACACACACGCACACGGTACGTATGAAAAGAGCAAAAGAGGAGAGGATATGGGGTCTCCAGCCATCTCCTGGGGTTCCAGAGTGAGAGGTCAAGGCCAAAGGACCAGCAGTCCTGACCACAGCTCCCTCCCAACTTGGAGACCAGACTGGAGGGGAGAATGAAAATGAGCCACAAGGCAGCTGTCGAGATTATCACAGCATTAGCTGAATTTAGCAGCATAAAAGTAAGGTGGAAGGGAAAGCACATACTCGCTGCGGAAACCTCTTCATCTTCCTGCTGGCCAGCTCGGCAGCCAGGCGCATTAAGGGGTGCACAGGAGGAAACTGCAAGAAAGGTGCAAAGAGGGTCAGACCGGAGGCTGCCAGAGGAGGCTTTGCAGAGCCCAGGGCTATGCGCATTCCTTTTGACTCCCTTCCCTTACAAATGGATTTAATTTCCAGAGTGAAATACATTTTGGAGTCTGAGCCTGAAATTTTATCTTTTCAATAAAGAACTGCTTGCCTTGATAGCAGGTTTCAATTTCAACACAGCACAAACATTTCCTTAGGGTGACTCAAACTGTCTGCATTAACCCCAAACGCTCTTGTTTTCCTAGTGTTGTCTTAAAGGGCCAGCTGCAGGAAGCTTCTTTCTCCCCACCTGTGATCTCTTATTCCAGGGGCCAGGAATGGGCATCCCTACCTCTCTGTACTGCACTTCCTGTCTGTGACTGCTGGCACACACTCAGGAAAAGGCATCTTGCTTGATTAGTCCTCATCAATCCTCCCCGGATGCTTTTAGTGTAAAAGTTAATTTGTGTCGCAGACAGAACTGACCTTTTTTTCTTCCACTGTTTTTTCTCTCTTTCCTAGTGCAATGAATGGCCTTTGTGGATAATATCCCCTTCCCAACCTGATCCTCCTACCTACCCCTATAATACTGATGAGTCTTTGCTTTTTACAGGAAAAATAATGCTTTGCTGAGTATTTCCCTTAAAAGATACTCTTGAAGGCTTGGAGAAAGTTAAATATGTAAGTAGATGTGTTACTAATGGTAGTATTTCAGTGGCAGTACGACGACATCTGAACTGAGTTACAGTTTATGACCTGCCCTATATTTCTCAAATCACAGGCCACAGAAGTTTACCTACTCCAGTTGATCCCAGAGGGAACTCAAATTTATAGTAAAAATGTTAGAGATAATGTACCCACACACCCCGATAGCCACAGAAGTTGTGCACCTGTGGGTCACTATTAAAGGGACAGTATTTTGCGTGCCACAAAAACCTTGTCAAAATTTGAATAATAGGTCATAAGGAACAAGGGAAGTCGAACACAGTTTTTTACCAGGCTCTTCTTGTACATCTGTTTAATAGAAAGATATCTATTACTTATTTTTACTTTACATTTTATTCTCTAACTTTTCAGATCTGCCCACTACCCATTACCTCTATCCCAGAGAGGAAAGAGACCTGGGGAACTACTTCTGGGTCAGGGAGTATCAGAGCTCTCTAGTTTTCTGTACATACACTGTCAATTCAGAAGGAATAAAAGGTATGTGGAGGTCACTTTTATAGAAAGATGATTATAAAGAAACACTGACCCTGGTTTTAACTGGGCGTGTCGGCTCCTGAGTTCTGGAGTAGTGAAATAGAAACTAAAGAAGAAAAAAAAGTGGTGTTAGTACCAAATGTCACTTGCTCTCATGTGAAAGCTTGTGCTCTGTGCCTGGGCTGGCTGGTACTCACCCTTTTGTATATGTCGTGATTATCCTAAAAAGAGAAGAATGAAGGTAAGTCATGCAGAATTTGACTGAAGCAGACAACAGTCAAGGTTTCTGCATACTATACACCTTCCTGGATTTATTCTACTATTATGAAATCAATTGGCAACCTAAAAAGCAGTTCATCACACAGATTTAATAAGACTACAGCTGATACAGGATCTTACAATTTAAAAGTTGCCACAATCATTTTAAAATTAGATTCCTTCATCTTTTCCGTCATTGGGGGAAAATACTCCTCATTAATGCATAGAAGCAGTACCCTCACCAAGTCCCTGATATCCATCTGAATAAGTGGTATAGTAAAACAACTATGACAATATTTCATTTGCTGCCGGATATAGCTCAGTAGCAGCTTTTTAGGCTTGGTTCATATTAACCAAGTTTTTTTCCCCCTTCTAGTAGCTTCCTACATGAATCTTCACTGTTCTTGCAGAAAGCACAGCTTTTTATTTTTGAGCCATGTTAGTGCTCCAGCCTGCCCTCTCTACAGGGCTGGCAGAGTACACAAAGCACATCTGATCAAGGAGATGCCAGGAAAGAGGGCATCTTACTAAACCAGAACATTTTCACATCCACATTTACAAAATTGTGAGAAATGTGAACTCTCTTTTAAATACAGCGGAGTACTGATCATTCACATCTCATTCACATTTAAATATTCTTGAATCAGTGCAAACCTCAATCAAAACAAAAATTCAAGTTGCTAATCACATTTCTCATTTTACTGCAGTGAATACAATCTTATACTCCTGCAGGCTCTATGGAGAGTTTCTGGGGTAGAAGCAAGCCATGCCAAGGCATCCTTTCTCTCCTTCCCTGCCACACACATATGTGTGCCTGTGCTCAACTGGGTGTAGGCACACAAAACACACCTCAGTCAATCTGCATTACTAATAGCAGAGGCTCTGTGGGAATTAATACCCCATTTTCCCATAATCACCATCTCTAAACAAGCAGGAAGTGTCTAATTTTTTTTTTTTTTTTTTTTTTTTTTTGGTACCGGGGATCGAACTTGGGTCCTTGAGCTTGTGAGGCAGGCCACAGAACCGCTGAGCTAAATCCCCGGCCATATCTACTGTTTTTATAGTTTCTAGTCTTTCTCTCAACCTCCTTTCACAGCAGTGGGATGGGGGGTGGGGCATATTAAGCAAACAAATTTTTTTTGTACCACATTATTAGCTTTATACTGTTACTTTTACTTTTTGGGTCAAAAAATAATGTAGAAGGAAAGTGTTTTTCCTGGTGCTAATCAGCCCTCTCTATATTTCATATACACCTTTCTTGCTTTATTTTTGTCTCTTCAAGAAAAAAAATTCTATACAATTTTACTCATTTATCTCATTTCTTACATATTTCCTCTTAAACATATATTCTATAAGAACTGCTGACTTTTCTTGTTTGGGTCACCTCTACCCCCAGCATCTGGCATATGGCAAGCTCTCAATAAATTTTTTTGAGTGAATGAATGAATGAATGGTAGGGCTCTGTTCACAAGAAGCTATTGGCCTTTCCCATCTAAACTTCTTCAGATCCCATGAAGTAAGCAGAAACCAAAACATGAAGAGTTTATGCAGCTGACGTTATTTGCAGAAGGTAACCTGCCTTATGAATGATCTCAAGATAAAAGTCCCTTGGAGTCACAGACCTGGCCTTTTCTGGAGACCAGAACAGAGGGAACTTAAGTGCTTAGTTAACTCCTATGATCTTTGGGCAACTGAGAGAACTGAAGTCCCTGGAGAGGAAGTAACAGGCTCTAGGTGATATTTTGAGGCAGCCACAAGGCCAGGAAGAGCCATCCTATCTATTCATAGTTGGAAAACATTGAAACTAATGCTGACTGAATAATCCCTTAATCTCCTGCAATTGGAAACAATGAATAAAACTGGCTGTGGGGGAATGGAAAGGACGGAAGGAAATTCATAGGACGGAAGGAAATTCATACCAAGTGGGCCTTTGCATTCAGGAACCCCACAATTTAATTAATACTTCAGGTAGTACATGAACAGCTACACTTCCTATGACCCTGCTTATGCAGGGGATACCCCTATAGCCCCTCTAGGGCAAGGTTGGGGGGCAGTAGGAAGAGATGGAGAAATTGGAATTTTCACCTTGGACTTTTGCTCTAGGGATCCAGGTTATGAAAGATTATGATAATTAAGTCAAAACATATGCATGATAAAAAATATGCATGATAGTAAACTCAAAAGGAGAAGAAACAGGCATGATATATTTAAGTCTGAGAAAGAAAGTTACAGTTGAGTCTTGAAGAATGAGAATTAGTTGCATCAAGAAGCAATAGTAACAACTAGCTCTTAACAGCTATTGTTTACCATGTTCTAGACAACACTGAAAGCACTTCCCAAATATTAAAGCAATTGACCTTCATTATGGAGCTAGTATAGCTATGGTCCCCAGTGTACAGATGAGAAAAAAAAGTGAAGGTCATTAAGACACTGCAAAGTTTAATAGAGTTGGAATAGAGCTCAGGTAGTGTGGTTTTACAGCCTGGTCTGTTACCTGCTGTCTGAGAAGGAGGCAAAGGCATTTTTGATGAGGAAAAGATTATGGAAAGCTACCAAGGGCCTGGTGCATTTGGGAACAGTGAGAGGTTCAGTGTGGATGCAGCCTGGCATGTCTTGGGCAGAGAGGATGAACAAGCAGGAGATATGGCTCAAGGTGAAAGCAGGAGGCTCTGCCAAGATCGTGGAATATCCTGAGACCACCCTATGTTCCTACAGTTAAATCCACATTCACTTTAAATCCATGAGACTATTTCTTTTGTGGTTGCTATAGTTACTGTTAAGTCTTTTACATGAGATTTATTGTTTGGAAACTGCTATATCATATATATATATCTATATATATAGAGAGAGAGATATATATATCAAAGTATAATATACAATAAGATATATCATGACACATGTAGTTAATTTTATGATGACATAGTTATATGATGACATGTGTAAGCACATACATGAACCACTAAAATTTTATGGCAACTTATATTTAATAGAGAATCTAGATATTTTCTGAATGTCTGTCCCCTACACACAGAGAAACATAAACACACACACATTTTCACATACAGCATTTTTTGTATGTAGCAAAGCAGTATATTTATTACATGCATATATTATGCTATTAACGATCATATGCATTTTTTTTTACCTTGGGTTGGTTAGAAAGCAGTGCCCACTTATTCAGGCAGTATGCCAACTGCTGAAAAGCAGAATGAGAAAAATAACTCAAAACCAAGAATAAGTGCCTTCGTTAATAGAATTCTATCATAACATATTTAAAATTCTAAAATTGTTCCATTTGTGAACCTTGAATTATCTCCTCACACAACGGCAGTGGCTCTCAGCACAGCTGAAGATGCCTTAAGTGCAGCCGTAAAAATGGCAACAGTGAAGATCTGCTGCAGCCAAAAATCTGATCTTAAAATAGTTTTAAGTGAACATTATCCACATGATATTTTCAAGGCCTAGATTAAATAAAAATCTCACAGGACTGAGAAATAACCTACCTCAAGCTGCACAATATCCAAGCCATCTGGAGGGTGAGCTAATGGCTGAAGGAATCCTACATGAGAAAAGACAAAAGCATCAATTAGAGAAAATGGGTTGTCACATTCCTTTTATACCTTTACCATAGAAAACAGATTCTAGCAGAACCATAAACTATGAATGAGCTATCCTGAAGAGGCCAATGAGAAGATAAGAAATGATACAATGCCATTAAGAGAATTTTCAGAGAAAACACACACACCTACCTACTGCTACCTGAAATTTATACCCAAATTAATTAAAGACCTTGTCTGAAAACAAAAAATGTTAAAAACAGCAGAGGATGCAGCTCAGGGCAAAGGCCCTGGTTCAATTCCCAAAACCACCAAAAGAAGTAGCATGCTTTTAATCTATTGCCTCAGGAGTTTCCAGCACAGATGTTAGCAAACCAGGAAAGAGAATACTATCTAGGTAACAACTTAGTTTTTATTTTCATGGAATATATAAAGATGTCGTATCAGATAATGGTGTAAAAAAATAATGTGCATCAGAATCACACTTGGCACTTTTAAAACATTCAACCACCTGTCTCTGTCTTCTGGACCCTCCAGGACTGAAGTTCTGGGCAAAGGTGATACCAGCCTTTAGATGACCCTGCCAACACTTTTCTCACTTAAATGAGCCCATCTCTTTTATATATGATACAACACTTGGAGGAACAGCTTATATTGTGTGGATAAATACAAAACCTTGCATTTGGATTTTTAAAAAATGTGGGACAGTAGTTATACTTTTTAAAAATAGACTTGAGTGGTCTTATGTTTCCTTCATTCTTTTTCTTTTCAATAGTCTGACTTGACAGGTAGAGTTAAAGTGACTGAGCGTAGTTTTCTCCGAAAAGAGCAAAATCAGAAAGTATATGTTAACTGCCTTGAACTATCTTAAGAATGGTCATAAATAAGGAATATTGGCACTATTCTATCCCCAAGAATAGAATGAAGGCTTATGGCTGGAAGTTACATGTGATCAGATTTCAGCTCAGTGTAACGAAGTGTCCTCCAATGATTGCGATCATTCAGTAATGAAAAGAAACACAAGCCAATCCCATCAGGACATATTGAGGGTCCTGTGTGATACAAAGGTAAAGGCTATAGTGACCCTATCCTCAGGGAACATCAAATCAAATAGGGAAAAGAGGGTTTTCATAGAACTATATACACAGTTAAATAAAAAGTATCAACCAATTCCCAAATGTGTAAATAGATAAGATCCTCTTGTAGTCCAAAAGGGACAGCCACTGGTTATCTTGGGGTGGCAGTGAGTTGGAGGTCATTGAAAGTACTCATAATCTTGAAGACCTTCTGGGAGAAACCAGAGAACCCTACACTCTGTGAGGTTAGACCAGACAGTCTCCACAGATTTTGTAATTGGGCTTTAGGACATGACAAAACATGCATAGTATTTGGAATATACTTTCTCCCTGAAAATATTCTAAAAAAATTTCTACTAAATCAAAATTCTACTGGAAAAGAATTTAAATTTTGGAATATTCTGTGTTACCAAGGGTAGATTTTCTGCTATGGCACCCTTCGCTGCATCTTATGGCAAATTACTTGTATATGATGAGGATGGACTCGAACTACAGACTTTTCCAATACCTCAGATCTCTTCACACCACGTTAGTTCTCTGAAGTGGACAAAGGGATGGTTTAACAAAGTCAGCACCGAGGACAGCACCTGGCCTCTGAAGATTGGCCCTCCACCCGAGCCACGCTGTGTTCTGGTCCGTTCTCCTGAGGGTCCTGAACCTCAAACGGATGGGACTCACAAAGGGGCCATGCAGAACATAGGACTTCTTTGGTGCAAGAGATGTTTAAAGACAGTCCCACTGGGTAAAGTTTCACTTCGTAAGAGCCTGCCACACCCAGCTGTGTCCACGCTTCCTTAGTGGGTTAGAAACTAATGAGAGGCCAGAAAGTAATGGAGTAGAAAGCGGACAGGAAAAAGGGATACAGCTAGACCCTTCCAGAGCCGATCACTCTGAGGGATCCAGGCACCTTACCTGAGGAGATAATCTGTATCATGCAAAAGCAGTACATTGCCAAGACGGAAGGGAGTTCGGGAAGTTGTTTCATCTCCAGAGCCTGGTTTCTCTCTGCTGCTCACAGATGTGTGTTGCAAGGACTAGGGTTCAGCATTTCCCCAAGTCCCACAGGCAAATGCAGCCCTCAACTCTTTCTGATCAGCCCAGAGCAGTAGGTGCTTTTATTGGCAGTGTCCTTGAGTCCATTGGCAGAGCACCAATCAGCTTTGCACAGGAGGACCCGGGCTCTCTCATAAATGTCATGCTGGGCCCTTATTTGTAGAATAATATCCTCCTGGTGTAAGCATTATAGAGAGTCATATTTTTTCAATCTAGCAATAAAAATAAAAAGTGGAGAGTCATAATTGTTACTCTATAATGGTGTGGGAAACACTTTTGACAGGAAAGACTTTTCTCTCTTTTTTAATAAATAAGGGGAGAGAAATCTATTTTAATTAAAGAACTGGACATAAGTCTATAATCTTGCATGATGAGGTCTTGCTTCCTAAGAAGCTGCTTATTTTCCACTATTAACAAAAGATATGGTTTAGTCTTTGATGCATTTAAGAAGAATAAAATTTGGAATCCTAGATATAACTTTACCAGGAACCTCAAATTCAAGTAGAGTTGTTATTTTTTATCATGGTTGGAAATCAGCCTATTTGAGGCTTTCCCAAATTCTATGAACAAATTAATATTTCAAATTAAGTCAGTATTCAAGAAAGCATGACAATATTTTTGCTTGATAATAATATGATAATAATAATTAAAAATAAACAGACTCCACTTACTGAGTTCCTACATGTGGAGATCTGTTTTTGTCATTTCACATGGATTATTCATGCAATTCCCATAGAAAGCACATACTAGAGGTGCTATTATCCTCATTTTATGAATGCAGAAACCAAGGCTAGGAGAGATTAAGGAATTTATCAAAGCTCTCTTAGCTATCAAGAGAAAAGGCAGGAATTTGAATCCAAAGATATCCTAGCTCAGTCATGTTCTTTTTTTTTCTTTTTTTTTTTTGGTTTTTTGAGACAGGGTCTCACTATGTAGTTGAGACTGACCTGGAATTCACTATGTAGCCCAGGCTGATCTTGAACTCACAGGGATCCTCCTGCCTCAGCCTCCCGAGTGCTGGGATTACAGGCATGTGCCACCATGCCTGACTTTCAGCCATGTTCTTAAACATATGGGATATTGGTTGATAATTCTTTTGAAAAGAGCTCCCTTAGGTTAGATAAGGGGTAGAATAAAGGGTAAAGAATGAGGTCTTATACTTCAGGCAAAAAGTAACATATGAAATAAGTATCTTTAGGATTTTTCCCATTACACACTTTTAATTTTTGTCTTTTTAGAGATTTAGAGATAACCAGCAAATGTTGAATGCATCCAATATGCCTCAAACATGTTGAATATTTTTACTTATAAAATTTTTACTTTATTTTAAATTGACTTACTTTACCTGTCATATAATTTTTTTTTAATGTTCAACAGGTTTTATTAGTATCTTGGGCTTCTGAAATTTTCTTCCACATATCCAGTTGATTTTCTAGTCAAGGGTTACCTGCTAAAAGTTCAACAGAGATGACATTAGATTAGAAAACAGTCAGTACAAGTTTTTTGACTAAATTAACATTCAACAGAAGCTAACTTTATAACATGCATTTGGGTTCCAGGGGTAGGTTATAGTTGAATTTCTTCCTTCTGTTTTGCTTAATCATGTTACAGGAAAGGAGCTCAAATCTTTATAAACAACACATGACTTTTGTTCACAGAAGGTAGGATGTGAAAAATGTCTTTGCGCCATGCTAGAAATTAACAGCAACTTTACAAGAAATTCAAGGTCTGTATATATTAAAGTATCAGTTCCTTTTCCTACTATGTTGGAAAAACTGAAGAATAAACATGAATAAACTGGGCATTTTAAGAAAACTAGGCAAAAGCAAATGTGGCAGCGTTCTAATATATCTAATTTAGAAATTTAGGTGCTAATACTGTATCATAAAAACCAATGCAATTAAACTGTGGGTAATGACAAAGGATTAGTTTATATATCTGTAGAAAGTCACTGTGAAGTAAAATAAACATTAGGAACCCTTAGCCATGGTCTCGGTTACCTGGGAAGGCACACACTACAGAGGACCAGGAAATAAACAGCTTTTCTATTTATAGTAACATTGAGGCAGAGTCAAAATCCAGTAAAAGGTAACTGGGAATGTAATAATTAGAATGATCTCCATTCTGTCAAAGTTACTACTTAATACATCATCCATGTTGAGTCGTTATGACAATGATCATGAATGACCGCAGAGAAACATACAGTATTTGAAACATTCTAAAGGTTTTGTGGAGGCTACTGTAAAACAAAGGATTTGAAGTAAACTATTATACAAAAATAAAAAACCAGGTTGTTTTTCTCCAAGTTCCTGGTTTAATAAGGACTTGTTTATTTTGAGAAAAAAGATTCCAAACATCAGGCTGTTCACAAAAATAACCCACAGTATCAACTCTAGAAAACAAAGACTATTACACTAATTTTTCTAGAGGATGCATTTGACATGCCAACTCTCATTCACAAAAATACATTGTTACATTTGTGTTCAACAGTCCCACAAAGTACTTGATGTGGGGAAACACAAACTTCTAACTCAAAGCTGCTCTCAGATGCTACAACTAAATGAGATTGCCTTTGCAGCTAGGGAAGCAACTACTGAAACCATGTATGGGTGGAAATAACTGTACTCCCTGCATAACGAGAGATTATTGTGGAGACAGCTGAGAAAAACCATACAAGCTTTTTATTGTTAAGTCATAAAGAGGTATCAAAATTAAAAAGCAAAGTTACAGGGTAAGACTTAACAAAACTACTGGGAGCGTCAAAGGAAGTGAAAATGGGACTAGGCGCAGGGCAATTATGAACATGGGAAGGACAAAGAACAGTGAGCATGTGCTGAAGATACTAGGGGAAAGGATCTGGTGAAATTTTGATTTTAGACAAGCGCCTAGGTAAAGAAATAATGGGACAAGACTTCTAAACCCCACCATATGCTTAAGAGTCATCCTCGCCATTGGCGCCGTCTCTGTCATCCTCTCCTTCTTCAGCCTCTTTTTCATCATCCTTGATCAACTCCAGCTGGTCATCTCCCCGATCTTCATATAAGGACCTGTCATATAATTTTTAATGAATGAGAAATTTAAGAGTAATTTTTTTAGTGGAAACTGCTCAGAAGGAACCATTTATTTGTGCCTTAAAAAAACTTTTTTTTTGCCAAAAAATTTCAATTCTTAACAGTGGGAATTATAAATTACTTTATAGCTGTAACACATTTTTTCTACTTTGAGCCAGCAAGAAATAGAGGTTTCTATTTATTGCATTATTTACAACTTTGGTTCAAGGAGAATAGTCTGTGGTCATTAAGCACCAGGCAGAGATTATGCCATTCATATTAAAATATGCCCACTGTCTAACAGTAAGTATTTATGAAATGAAAGGAAAATATAAATGAATGCTGTTTGAACATACACCATTTAAAAACAATTCAGTTCTAATAAGTATAAATCAACAAGTAAGTACTTGCTGAACATTTTGGTCTATATTCTTCAGTAAATTGGTGCTGTATTCATAGACATACATTTTTCAAATTATCCTCTAAAATAATTCTGATTTATATCAAAGTTGTTTCCCTGTGTATTTTGCCCATATTATTTCTCAGATATTTGGGACATAAGCAAAACTATTTTGATAAAACTCAAAAATAGAAGAAATTGTTGATATCTGTGTTGTTATTATCTGACAATACTATTATGAATTTTATCATCTTCTCTGGCAATTCATATGTTGAAACCCTATTGCCCCAATGTGACTGTCATTGGAGACAAGGTTTTCATTGAAGTAATTCAGGTTAAATGAAGTCATAACAATAGACTCTAATCCAATAGGACTGATGTCATTATTAGGAGGGGCACTGGAGAGCTCCCATTAAAAATCACATCTAACATCATGTCAGTATCCACTGTATAACTGAAAATGCAATAACCTCTACCTTAAACTCTTAACAGTTCCAGCATTGCTTAAAAGTCCAAGTCTAAAGTCTCCTCTGAGATTCAAGGCAAATTCTTACTTTGAGTCCCTGTAAAATTCAAAAAGCAACTTACCTAATCCCCAAATACAATGAAACAGGATGAATGCTCCCATTCCAAAAAGGAGAAGTGTAGGATTAAAAAAAGAATCCAACCAAAGTGACATCTAAACCCAGAAGAGCAAACACTAAGTCATGTAGCTCCATAGCCATCATATGAGGTATACTGTGGTGAGATGTGAGATCCAGAGGGCTTGGGCATCTTCATCCTTATGTCCTTGCTAGTTGATGCCCACATGGCTTTTCTTGGGCTGGTTCTATTCACACCCTGCAGCTTTCCCTTGCAGATATTGCATGTCCTTGGTAACAATGATGTCCTGAGGTCTCAAATGCACCTTTGGCTTCATTTCCACAGCTTCACATGCCAGCCTCTCACCCTTGGTTGTACTCTCACCCTTCCTCTAAAATATGGGCAGAAACCTCCATGACTCTAGGACTCTTGCATTCTTATACCTGAGAAAAACAGCATCACATGGATGACATCAAGGTCTGTTACTGGCCTGAGCAGTAGCCAGGAGTGTAGCTGCGGTGGCTTTTGGCCAACATACCTCCTTTGGGCCAAAACTTTACATATGGTTCTCTTCTGGCCCAAACTTCTCAAACCCTTTTGCTCTGCTCTTTGCTCCAAATTGTCATTATAAAGTGGCTCAAAGCTGTCAGCAATCCCCATGTCATGGCCCAAGTACTGGGCTGCCTAGAAATTTGCTCTGCCCTTAAACTCAGCCTCTTGTAAAGCCTCAGGACTTTGGGGAGAATGGAGACAAGTTTTTGTTAAATTGTTGCCAGAGTGTAATGTGCACAATCTCTAGTCATATTCAGTAGAGTCGTTGTGTCTACCCAAAACCTTATGAGTACAGTTTTATTTTACTATTGAATACATTTTCTTTTGACATGTTTTCTATTCTTTTATACTATGCCTGACTGTTACACATTATATTAAATACTGCTGTATTGTTGTATTTATTTTGTGTAAAGAAAGGGATATCAATGGAATTCCAAAACAGAGAGGACTTGGTTTTTGAAAAATTCAAGATCAGAGCTGAAGACTCTGGAAATCAGAGCTCTATATGAGCAAATTGCTATGGTCTGAGATGCTGACCTGGAACCACAAGATTTTGGTTTCCTTTTTAAAAATCTGTATATTAATTAAGATACTATAATCAACATTATTAGCAGAGAAAAATACAACAGGATAAGAACAAGCAAAAGCTTTAGGGATTCTTTTTATATGGAGGGAAGGGAGAAAAGAGCAGACAGGAAGAAACAAGGAAAAGGAGAAACAAAGAAAAGAAATAATATAACTACCTATCACAAAGGAAATATTAAATAAACCACGGGATATCAATAAAATATTAATATATATACTGTTAGAAAGAATAAACTGGATCTATAAGTTTTGAGAAGGCAAGTTTTTATAACATAATAATAACAAAACTGCAATCTGCATGCTTTAGTATCAAATGTTTCATTTGTGAGGCATTAGCTTCTGCTGATAGAAAACCATTCCAAAACATAGTTGTCTAAATATTCTGGTTTCACAGTTCAGTCCTCATTGTGTGGGCTGAACTCAGCTAATCTCAAGAGGACTCATACATTGGCATTCAGGTGTTCAATAGACAGGGGCCTGACTTCTTTCTCCAAATGCTCTCCTATTCCCCAGGTGGCTGGCCTAGGCTGGATTTCATGCTCATTTCAGAGTTCTAAGACAGGAAGAGTAGAAAGTACACAGCATCTTGAGTCCTAGTTTGGAAGTAGCAGAACTTCACATCTCTTCCACAGTGCTGGGTTCGTCAAAAGTAGTCATAAGTAGACCAAACTCAAGTGGTGGGAAAACCCATGTATCTCAGGGAGATATGCTGACAAGTGTTATAGCCAGCTTTGCATTCTACGAACCATCTCGTACATAAAAATTTATTCAAAACAGAACGTGTCCTTATAAATGGACATACGTAGGTAAATGTGAAATGAAAAGGTGGGACTCTATGCACTCGTTCTTCCCCAAAGAACAGTGATTCTCAGAAGAGGAGTGAGATTGTGAGAAGGCATTAAAATCTACTGCATTATGTATACTTTTAAATTTGTGCATTGATAATTTATTAAATGCTTAAAACCAAATAAGTAAAAATAAATTTAAAAATGTAATGATCTCTGAAACATTCTTTGATCTTATGGTACAATATTCAATTGTAATTGAATTGTACTTGACTTGAATTTAGGAGCTGTGATTAAACAACACACCTCTTTTATGAGGGTCTTTAGTTGTGCTGTTGTGGCTGCCTCAGTGTCCTCAGTTAATTGAAAACATTTATCTTTCATTTGACTTTGAGAAGGAGCCCAAAATCTAGTTATTAAGGCGGATCAGGACACACTACAATCTTTTATTTGATAGAATTTGCCTTAAATACTTTGAATCAATTCAGGCCACTGAGCCAGCCTTGAAAAAGGCAGCAAAGATAATTTTTAGAAATGCTTCAGAAAGTGGCAGAAGTGTTTTAGAAGTGAGGGGGAGTATTTTGGGAGGGATTAATGGCAATGTGTCTTTTACTGTGATACATTTTAAAATTTTTTATTTCAATACATATTTTTATTGTATCTCATACATATATAAAAGATGAGTTCCTTTCATTATTTCATTACAGTTATTTTCCAGAGTGTTTCATTTGCTAAACATTACTGAAAGGGTTGTGACCAGCGAATTGTCAGTGTCAAGCCAATTTAATAAGATGTAACATTTTTCAAAAAAGGCACTCACCATGTGGAGTTCCCAGACCATTTGAGACAAGCATATGCCAGAGAACTAAGCTAAAAATGCCTCTTCTTTCCCACATTAAATTACTTTCCACTTTGTAAATGGTTTTTATGATCAAACTCAGCAAGTTTTGAAGGAACTGAACTTTAATCAGTAGGATATAAAAAACAGAATTTCTAAATAGATGATATTCCTATGTTCAATATATTACTTTCTTAGTGGTATCTCATGTCCTTCAAAGACTCTGTTAGACCAAAGTAAAATAAGATGCAGGTATGGGAATTAATATTTGTGGGCACTGTCAAGGAGGAAAAAGTAATTTTTCCCCTTGGTTGATACAGAGCCCTGTAAAGAAAGACAAATTAATGAGAAAAACAAAAGTGTAATAACACAGTGTTATATTTTGAATGATGGTGTCTCCTCCAAAACGCATGCTGAAACTTAATTCATAGTGAAACAAAATTTATCCTTGGGTGATTTTTAAAATATGAGGGTTCTTCCCTCCTCAATAGGATGAAAGTCCTTATGGTCATCACAGGAAATATTCTAAAAGGTGCATCACAGTGTGTATATAATGCCCACATTTATTTTTCAGGGATATTTCTATTGATAAATTATTTATTTTCATTTTATGAGTTTTCTTACATTATACAAGGTATATTTAGCAGGAAAGTAAAATATCAATTATCTTAGTTACTTTTCTCATTGCTGAGATGAAATACCCAGCACCCAAAGTAGAAGAAAGGTTTATTTGGCTCATAATTTGTAGAGGTTTCAGTCCATAGTTGGCTGGCTCCAAGGCAGGGTGGCTTGGCAGAGGGGCACGGCAGAGAAGAAACAGTTTACGGAAGGCAGAAGACAGCAAAACCAAGCAAGTGATAAGCCTCTTTCTGTTCTTTATATCTTATCCAGGCTAGCCACCTTAGGGCAGGCAGCACTCACACCCCTAACCCTAATACCCTTAACCCTAGCATTGCACCATGAATCAGTCCCCTCATCACACACTTTGGATCTAGCCACCTCTGACAAGCCCCACCTATGCCTGCATTAGGCTTTGGGGGCACATCTAGATACAAGCCATAACACCAATAAAATAAAATATTGAATTTTAATATTAATGAATATTTAGAATAGATATCAACATTGTCTACATCAACTGTTTGCTTGCTTACTAAATTAAAAAAAGAAACATATTTTTATATGAAAATACAAGTGAAATTCTGCCACAGGAATAATCTGTGCTTCAATTATAACACCTAAGCATTTTCACACATGAAAACAGCTTGTTTCGTACATAGGCATCGCTTAAACTGACCACATGTGTGTTTAGCTTTATTTTCCTTTTTGGCAGGCCTTACTTGTCACCTCTCTTGTCTTTCTCCTTTGTCAGGAGTTTCCTATTCTATTATACAATGTGTACTTAGCAGGAAAATAAAATATTAAATATGTACTGAGTGTTTAGAACATCAACATTTTCTACATCAACTGTTCATTGTTTACTAAATCTAAAAAATAACCACAGAAATAAATTCCTATATGAACTACAATGAAAATGCAAATAAAACCCTACAATAAAAAAAACCTTTACTGTAATTATCACAGTTTAGGCACCTTTCACATACAAAAGTAGCATGTTCCATACACAAGTATGACACTGATAGCACGTGTTTTGTTTTCCTGTCTTTTTTTTTTTTCTGTACTGGGGATTGAACTCAGGACCTTGCACTTGTGAGGCAGGCACAGCACCACTGCGCTAAATCCACAGCCCCTGCTTTCCTGTCTTTTTCGGCAAGGCATACTTCACATTTTGCTGGTCTTCCTGTTTTCTGTGGAGGTTCTTGTGATGTTTCACCCATCTATTCACTAATCTACTCTAGAATTCTTTTGTGGAGCTCTTTGGGCAGAGACATACTGTTTTTCCTCTGTTGTAATTGATTGTTTATCAGTTTAAGTTCCAATCTTATAATAAAAATTTCCATGATATTTTGTGCTTGTTATTTTCTTCTTAAACTATGAAGCTATTTATGCTTGACACAACCATTGACCAACACTTTGTGTTTTGAGTGACGTTATAGCTGCTGCATCTATTCTGCCTTTAATTGTTTTGTAAAATGGACCACTTCTAGCTTCATTCATGTTGAGGATTCACTATCAATTTTTTGTTCATTAGTTTGGCTTTTTTAAGACATGGTCTTGCTATGTACTCCAGACTAGCCTTCAACTCACTGTGAAGAGCAGGCTTGAACTCACAGGATCCTCCTGCCTGAGCCTCTACATATTGGCATAACAGGTGTGCACCACCATGCCCAGTTTCAGTATCAATTTTATCACCATGGTATAACACTGACAGTGTTAATGCTACTTTGTTTTCTTCACCATATAGGAGACCAATGTTATGCTTTTCTGAAACCCGAAGATTACACTATATATTTCTGTATTGTGAACTTGCAACATTTTATTGTGGGGGGAACTCTGCTTTGTTCTTTCAAATAGTTCCTGTGCTGGTCAACTGGTGTTTTATTAGCCAATGTAACATCATTGAGTAACTAGTGAACCAATTGTGGAATGTGACATTTTGGTACTTTTAAAATAGGTGCAACAAGTCTGTTCGCAATGCCATATGGTTTATTGTTACATGAATAAAGACCTGGTGGCCGAGTTTCAGGATAAATTTCTAAACACAATGGGAAAAATGTCTTTGTGTCTACCTGGGCATATATTTTTATGCCATATTTGGAAGGCTTGTTTGGATTATATCCCCGAAAGCTACAACAACTACAAAATGATGCAAGCTGTTGGTCAATTATCATTTATTTGGATGGTGTATAAATTGCTTTCAAAAAATAAGCACATAACAGTCACATTGTTGGATTTTTTGTTTTGTTTTTTTGGTGGGTCTTTTTGTTGTCAAAAAATAGGCAATTCTAAAGGAAACCAAATCTCATGAGTCGTTATTGATCTAAAAATCTCAACACCACATGACTGTCACTTCTCCATAAATCCTTTAGATTCCGATGATTAGAATGATAAGGTCCTGTTAGGAAGGCTTTTAGTTCAGATAGAGAAGTGTCATGATAAATATATTTTTGAGTATTAGTATTGGTGCATGTAGAACATTTAACTGTTCCTTATTAGTGCATGCTACAACATCTTGTAGCATATTGTCCATTGGGAACAATTTCCAGCATTGGATTGCAATGTTGGCATTTCATCCAATAAATTGTACCCTTGGCAAGAAGCTAATAACATTTTCTGACCTAGTCAGAAATGTTGGATTGTTCACATACACACAACCATTTTGTAGCATTTTGACTAGTCAAATATTTGGTTACGTTACCATTTTCTTCCTCATCTGAATCAAGGTCTTCATTGTGTGCTTTTCTGTCATTCTTGCTAATTTCTTTGGCTTACATGAACTAATTCATCATTGGTAGCTGAGTCACCCGATGACTCACTTTCAACTTCCTCCCAAAGTTGTAAACGTGGATTTTCATGTGACATTGTAATGAACTGGACTAATTCTACAAGAAAAATCAAAAGAAAGCATTTAATAAAACAAATTATAAATGCACAAAAATGTAACAAAGATCATAAGATAGGTAAAACTCACCTCTTGATACTTTGACACAGGTTTGTCTATCAAGTGGATGAACACAAAGATTAATTTCTATACTCCCCCACTGCAGCTACTGAGATGCACAGCTGGCTACCATTATGCTAAAGTAAACATTTTCATTAGAAAGTACAGTATGGGCATCTGTTTCCAGGGATAGAAGGGCTCAAGGTTGATGGAAAGACTCTCTTGCTCTTCTACCCATTAAAGGAAGTAATTCTTTTCTCCAGAAGATGCACCAAATGGCATGTTGGAAGTTAATATATTGGAAAATAACACCAGCCCTCACCAGACAACACCAGCACCTTGACCTTGGCCTTCCCAGCTTTCAGAGTGTAATAAATAAATTTCTGCTATGTATCGATTACCTAGTCTCAGGTATTTTGTTATAGCAGCACAAACAGACTAAGGCACAGAGATAACTTTCAGTATACATGGGAGGTACCCATAGAAAATGAGTAAATCTCAGTGATGGCTTAAGTAGTATCATCAGTGAAAACAAAGAAAGAAGGAAATAGGGAAGGCTTGGTTATAGGAAAGAGGCCAGGAAAAACAAAGAAATCAAGGAAAAGGCTTATTTGGCAAAGTGAGTCACTGGCTTCTCCATTGATAAGTTTCTAGTGATGTAGAGTCATCCTTCTCTTCCTAGTACAGACAGAGAGACACCCTTACAAATGAAGATTTCCTTTATAGATATGAATTTTTCTTACATATGGAAAACTTCTCTATTTTCAGAGCTTCTCCTCTGTCTGCTATTTCTCAAAATAATAAACTCAAAATAATCCTTATGCAAAAGAGGCATATTCTGTTCTCCTACAGTCATATTTTGGGGTGCCATATTCTGAGCCCCATCAGCATCTGTTTATATAGCAAGCATTCTTAGAAAGGTTTATTTCAGCTTCTGGCTGTCAAATCTCAAAAATCTGTTTATTGGCAGAAAAGGTTCCTCCCCCGTTGGCTAATCCTGTTCCCACCCACGTGAATATACTCTCTTTTCTTCCCACCTTCTGTGCCCGTATCCTGTTCTTTCTCTTGGCCTTCACATCTGCTTTATTCTGGGTTGCTTGATGGCAGGGAATAGGGAAGCCATGTAATTTCAAGAGAACCAGAATGTGCTAACAGGCAAGATCCATGAAAGGTCCATACCTTTAACTTTTTATGTTTTCCTTTGTCAAGAGGTGTATATCAGCTCAATGTGACAGTTACTTGTCCCTTAGCCTTCAGTTCCATAAATACCTTTCCTTATTCTTTTCTGATGATGCAGAGTTTGAAACCAATAAATAAACTTCTTTCCAGCTGGCTTCCAGAGAGTTTCTGTCAATGGAAGAGGAGGGTAGGAGAAGATTGGAAGAAAAAAGGAAGAAAGGAGACATTTCTTTTCTGCCTCAGTGTGGCCTTCAGTAGCAGCAGTGTCTCTGAATGACATTGGACTCCAGGGCTCTGCCAGTCATGAGGTTATATGCTCTGCTTCCTGAAAACGAGTAGAGGGGTAACTGCAACAATATGATAGAGATCTCATTGGTCTCTGTGGTCAAAAAAATGTGGGCTCCATGCATATGGCTTTTCCTGCAGTTCCTCCAACCATGGCAGAGGGAGAGTCTGTCTGTAGATGTTAACCCCTGAGTAATGTTTCCTTCCAGCCACCTTACAGGAATGCATCTTCCTTTTTTTTTTTTTTTTTTTTTTTTTTTTTTGACAGGTCTTGCTATTCAGTTCAGTCTGGCCTTGAACCCACTATGTAGGCAAGGCTGGCCTGGAACTTTTGGTGATCCTCCTGCCTCAGTATCTCGAGTGCTTGGATTACATACAAGTGCATGACACCATGCCAGGAAAGACTTATTTGTTGTTTTTTTGGAGCATAACTACATGGAATAAATAAATTTAAACTCTCTAACTTGATAAGCTTTACTTTAAGTATACACTGATCCCACTGAAGGGGTGAGGGAAATTTCCCTGTATCCTCTGAAGTTTTGCTGAATTGAAACAATAAACGGGGGGAAATGGTATGCAAATTTATTCGTGTGCATTTATTCATCATAGGCACAGGATTACTCAATAACCCAGTCAGGTGCAGATACTCATAGAGGAGAGCGTTATAGGGTGTATAGGTAATTTGGAGGGGTAGTAAATGATTTTATGGGGGATGAATGAGCCAAGGGGACAGACAATAGTTTGTAAACTATTCTCCTTAGAAGAATGAACAGACTGGGCTTGTGCCAAAGTCAACCTAAGTGTGATTATATTCCTCAATCTTCCTCCCTGCAATGAGAATTTAGGTAATGAACCCTGGGGTGGAGTTGGGGTCAAAGGCAATTGTTTTCTACTTTGGTGCATCTGGTCTTGTGTGGATATGGGAATATCAGAGTGAAGCTTCTCTAAGCCTCTGCTGCTCTCCAACTGCCTTCAACTTTTAACCATCAGCATCCCAGGATACTATGGTCTGAGCTTCAACACCACCATCACCTCAGCGATAGTAACAAATGTATCCATGGCCTTCCAAAGTTTCCTGAGCTCCCTTATAATCTCTCCCTTCCTTTCCCTGTTGGCTCATCTGCTTCTACCATTACAGTTTGCATTTTCTAGAATTTTATAAATGGAATCATGTAGGGTGTATCACTCTTTTAAATTTTTTAATCTTTTATGTAGCAAAATTGAATTAATCCGTGTTGTTGTATATTTCAATCATTTACTCCTTTGTATTACTCAATAGTGTTCTGTTGTATATATCAGATTTTCGCTCATTTTTTCCCATTCACTTCTTCATGACTTTTGTGCTATTTTCAGTTTTGAGCTATTATAAATAAGGCTACCATGACCACATATGCACAAGTATTTGTATGAATATCTGCTTTCTTTTCTCTTAGGTAAATATCTAAATTTAGAATGGCTAGGCCATGTGTTAAGTTACATGTCTAAATTTTAAAGAAACGACCAAGTAGTCTCCAAAATCATATCACCTTACATTTTTAACAGCAGTGGGTGAGAATCCCAGTTGCTCCGTATCTATACCAACACATGGCATGGTTTGTTTTACATTTTAGCCACTCTACTCCTTCCAACACTTTAGTAACTAGTACCTCAAATTAATGTCTTTCTGTTAACAATACCTAGAATGATTTATTTGTTCTTAGGTGGATCCTGGCTCCAAATAAGCACTGAGAGACACAGTACTCACTGCATGTCAGATAAATAAATGAACTAGCTTAGGGTTTGCAAAAGTTGAGAAATCAAGAAACATGTCTATGCAGACAGTGGTTATGATCACACACCCATTAAATTCTCTTTTCATTTTTTCCTTCCTTGCATTTTAAAAAAGTTTTAGTAGAGCAGGACTGCTTTATTTCTTTCAGTACTAAGTAACAGAAATCTAGGTCTTAAAATGAAACTGGTAGGCATTTCTATTACTGACAAGAGAAAGCTCAGCTAGTTAAGAAGAATATGTAGCCCCTTTCCACTAACTGAAACAAAGCAAAATGAATACACTAGAAAATATTCTTCTATCTCTTTCGACTATGACAATGACAATGTCAGTGTTATTTCTGATAGGGGAGTTTTATCATGAATCTGAAGTCTAGACGTTGTTGTTATGGCTTGTGGAAACAATCTGAAGCTCCACGAATGGTGTGATTTTTTTTCATTAAGTTTATCAGTACATTTAAGGTAAACAAAACAGTTACATTCATCATTGGGATCTTGTACCTTTATATGATGTACCTTGGTTCTTCTTTTTTCCTCATTTCCCTGCCCTCCCTTCATCCCCTTCACCCTTACGAAGGGTGTAATTATAATCAGTCTTGCTTAAGAACATGTTGGTCTGGCAATGTTCCACGTGAGTTCTATTTTCAGGAAGATGTATGGACTTGTGTGCTTCCTCTGTTTTGTGGGCACTTTGTACAAATCCTATTTGCACAAAGGTAAAATAATAATAATGGTAAAGATTAATTAAAATCTGTTACTCTTCGTGGCATCTTATTCAAACAAAGATTTTAAAAGCAGCATTTGTATGCATTAATGGTAATAAAACATATGGGAAATGAAAATGTGGATAAGATCAGGGTCAAGGTTAATGGTGGGGTTTCCCTAGGTAGCTTTGGGGCATTCTTCCCATTTCTTCATAGCTGGAGAAGGAAGAGCTGGAGAAGGTTCTGGAAGCTTGAGGAGATGTGTAAGAAACCCTGAAGCAGAAACCAAAGCATGAAAGAACCTCCTTTTTTAAAATCAAACTTTTGATGGAGGGTCTTGAGTCCTTCCTGGGTACTGAGGGAAGCCAGCACCTAGGTGGGCATCATGCTCCTTTTACTGTCATCGGAAGCCATTAGCAAGGCCACCCGGGGTACATAACTATGAGCTATCTTTGCAGAGACAGCCTGCATACTACAAAGGACATCCCCTTTGAGTTACTTTTCTAACAGTGAAATAGAGCAGCAGAGACCTAGCCTTTCTCTCTCACCAGAATCTCCTCAGTGCCAAGGATGTACTTCTGAGAAACCCTGGATAGATTTCAAGGAGTGAACTGAGGCTGAGAGTGGAGGTTAGGCACTCCTTGTGGACATTGAGACCCGATCCTTAGCTTCACTTCATAAGGACCACTTGCTCTTGGGGTTGTAACTTTTACCCTGTTTTCTTGTTACCATAACAAAATACCCAAAGCTGTGTACTATGAAGAAAACAGGTTTACTTAGCTCATGTCTAGAGATTCAGGGTCATGGCACTGGCATCAGCTTGGCCTGGCAGGGCCCTCAGGATGGATGGCATCACAATAGCAATAATGTGCAGGAACAGGATATCCCACTGTGAGACAGGAAGCTGGAGAGTGAGGCGAGCTAGTCTTATTCTTTTAAAACAACTCCTCTCACAGGAACTAACTGGGGTACCTTGAGAAGAGAACTATGTTAATCCCTTCCTAGTGTTGTAACTGCCACCCACCAGGCCCCTGTTCTAAAGGTTCCCCCACCTCCCACACTGAGGACTCAGCTTCTAGCACAGAACCTTTGGGGGTCCATGTAGAGGACATAGACACCTCAGAGCAGATGAGCAAGAACCTACGTCTCCACCTCTAAAGACTGCGCAGCCATTTTGGATGCCTGTTTTTTTTATGTCATTTCAGAGCTTTGGAGACTTGGTTCCCTCAATGGTTCTTTTCATGAACTTGTACCAAAACAACCACCCACCCTTAGGGGAAGGCTTTTTGCATTTAGTTCCGCAAACCACCTGCTTCTTCAACTCCTGGTCAATGAATGAAAAAATGCAGGTTCTTGCTCCCCATTTCAGTTTCTGAATCAGTACTGTTGGGTGCAGTTTTATAGGGAATCCAACCATGATCTAAATTTAGACTCTATAGGGAATTCTGCTATGTTCTGATTTTGAATTTTAGAACCCTTGCCTATAGGGACACAATGCCAGATTAATCATCACAGTTCAAGCAGATCCAGTCAATTTCTTTTGCTCACTGGACAGCTCATTCTCAACCCATTCTAGGATCCAACTGCCCTCTGTCTGGCCAGCAGATTCTTGTCTCACATCTTTGTTCTCATCTGAGGGATGTTCAGGATATGAAAATGTATTTTTATGATGACTCTGGAGAAACACCTACAAAGATAAGTCATGCCAAAAATGGATAAATACTTGAAGGTTCCCCTGAAGCAAAGGGAAATGAGTTGGGTGATTTTCACTGTGACCCAGCTTTGTCACAGCTGTTGCCATCTATGAGAGCTGCACAGTCACCTGACCACTTCAAGTATCATTCATGCACTCTTCTAATCAGCCCTGGTGGACAGGAAGTTTCCAGCAGGCTCTTACAGCTGGGATCTGTCTCTTACAGGAGCAGGAGGTGAGCACTACCCAAGAGTTGCTGGCTCCTCTTCCCTGTGGGCATCCTGGCCATTTTTTTTTTTTTTTTTGGTACCGAGATTGAACTTGGGTCCACCGAACCACTGAGCTAAATCCCCAGCCCTGGCCTTTCTATTTTACAACCCACTATGAATCATCCTCACAGTATTCCACCTTGTTCTTAGTCAGATGTCATGGGTTTGTTTCTCCATTCCAGGGCCATACTGTAATGTCATTTAGCCTGTGCTTTAAAGCCCTTTCTCAGAAACCTGTATTTTTATTACTCATCACGATACCATAGGAGCATGCTTCCCAGAATGCATCTGGGCATACATATTGCCCACTGTGGAGGAAGCAATCAATTCACAGGAAATAAAATTGAACAGTGACAACACATTTATTCCTCCTATTCTCATGTTAGTAATTATCTTTTTGGAGAGTTTGCAGACCAATTTATAGGCTGACTCGGTTTCAGTTTCCTACTGTGAAGGCGCAGGATTCTTGCAAATTATAATTACCCAGCTGTAATATCTGACACCACCATATTAATCAGAAAGCTAAAATCCAAGCTCTGAGCCCTTGTCGTATCATTAGGCATCTGTGTGAAAAGATTCAGCTGTCTTATGAATCTTTAAAGACTAAAATGTGTCATCAAATGGAAAATAAGGATTTATTTTTCTTTCGGGTCAATCTGAAGCAGTCTATTTTTTCCTTTAAGCATTTGAGATCCACACAACAAAATGATGGTGGGAAATATGTGAAGTTGTCTAGTTTACATAGATTGTTACATTAGCTATTATATTTATAGAGAGGTCTCAGCCT